ATATTATTATATTATATATTACTATTAATTATTATGTATAATACAACATTTATGTTACTAAATATGCGGAAAGTCTACACTGTTTTGAATGGTAAGGATTAGAACCTCGTCTAGTAAGTTTGGACTGATCGCTAAACAAAAATGTACAGCGGTCCGTCCTTTCGTAGCACAGCACGGAATAGGCATGAAAAATTACATGTGTATATTTCCTAGTATATTTATTACATTCTAGTATATTTCTGCTTGCCATATTTTTATTATTTACTCCACTGGACTTTGTAATATATAACATTCAGAGAATCTGTAAAATGTTCAATATATATATATATATATATATATATATATATATATATATATATATATATATATATATATATTTCTGGCTTTTCATGAAACACAAAGTGTGAAAGTATAATTTTTATTCGTTTCGTCAGTTATTTGACCATGCATTTTCTTGCGTAATTAGGCATTATTTCACAGTCTATTTCATAGGTATATATTGACTGTCCAAAAAGAACAGTAAGAACTTGGAACTTGTTATAAGTATGCTGAAGCTATTTTCAGTGCTGTTTCCTAGGAATATCTTTTATTTAGAACTGATGCAAGAATTTTCAACGTGCCGTCTTTCGTTTCTTATATTGAATTCGGTCGCGGCGAGTACGTAGTTAATCATTTTTATTGAAAAAATACGAGTTTCATATAAATACAAAATATTCTAAGGAACGCTTCATTTAATTTATCCTTCAATTCGTCATCTTCTTTGATTCTTTTACCTTAACATGCGATCGCCACAATTTATACACAAAAATTTTGACACTGGTGGTTGATTGATAGATTGGGTGCGTTCAGCGAACTCAACAGTTGTACAACAGTTGAGCAATTCGTCAATGTAATTTAGGGATCTAACAGTAAAAATTAATAATCGCTGATTGCTCACTGAGCGCTTTTTCCGCTGAACGCGCCCATTTATTCAATGACTGCGTTGAGCAGAGAAAGTTGCTACTGTCCTAAAATTCGCAACTGTCCTAAAATTCGCACATTTGGATTGGTGTATGCTTTTAGATCCAGTCAAGGATAAGAGCACACTTTAGTCAGATTCACGAATTGTACAGCAGTTGCAAAGCAATTTCTAAACGTAGCCATTATATAACTCCAGGCGAACTCTTCAGCGTCCCACAGCATTCCTCACATGAGAGGTGGAGAAAGATAAAGCGGGTCTATATGCAACATTTTTATTTAAACTTTTACAGACAATTTTCTGCAAAAACCGTGCAAAGCCTGCAACGATCTGACAGCCGATTGGCAACAGAAGCAGCGTGAGTCCTATCGCGCGGCAAGTTCTGCGCGGTTTATGCTGCACATCTGCAACAATTGACCAACAGCAGGCTCTATCGCCAAAACCGTAGCTCAATAAGGACTACG